ATGAGATCATGACCTGAGCCAAAGTTGGACGCTTAACCGACTGAATCACCCAGGCGTCCCCTCCCTTTTTTTAAGTTTATTAATTTATTTAGAAAGAGAGAGAACAACAAGCAGGGGAAGGGCAGAGAGAGAGAGGGAGAGAGAGAGAATCCCAAGCAGGGTCCGTGCTGTCAGTGTGGACCCAGATTCAGGGCTCAATCCCTTGAACTGTGAGATTATGACCTGAGCTGAAGTCGAGAATTTGACATTTAACTGACTGAGCCACCCAGGTGCCCCCTCCCCACTTTCTCACCAGTGCCCTGGTCTGAGGAGTCATCAGCTCACACCTTGGCTTCGATAATTGCCTCTAACTCATCCACTGTGCTCTCCACTTGGGCCCCTTCTAACTGGCTCTTGACCCATTCTAGGAAAGATCTCTACAAAACTCAACTCTATACCACTTAGTCTGTTCCTTCCCCCATCTCTGTGACCCCATGTCTGCTGGGCTCTGCTCTCACCTCCCTGATCCTTCATTCCCCTCTCCCTCCACCCAGACCACTGTAGCAGCTGCTCCCTCTGCCTGGCCTTTGTCTCCCTCTCCCTCCCCTTGCCTTTTAGACCCTATCCAACCTTCACATAGAAGCTCAGAGCCCACCTCCCTATCTAATATTACATCCAGGTTATATACTCCTGGTACCATGTACCTTTATTTTTTCCTTATCAAAGTTACACATGCTTATAATTGGGAGTCAAATGGTCTACAAGTCTGTTACCAAAAAACAGCTGTCTTCCTCCCTAGAGGCAACCACTTTCTACTCTTAGCTGGTTCTTTAGGAATCTACCTCTGTGTTTTTGCTTCTTGATTTTCCAGTTTCGCACCATCTATTAACTTCCCACTGTGGAAGAAGACAGCATTAGTTCCTCACCTCCTCTGCCCGCTCTGTTCACACATCCCCTTCCTATCCTCCATCCGTTCTCTGCAAGCCATTTTCTAGACTTAGATTTCTTTCTCTGAATAACTTTCTGTTTTCCCCAGAATTTACATTGTTTTCTGCACACCTACCCCAAATTCTACCCCAGGCTTTCTTCCAGCTTCCTGAATCTGCTCAAGAGCTTTAGACACGTGAAGCTGCCTGTCGATTCCACCTCCTCCTTTTTTTTTTTTTTAAATTTTAAGTTTTTATTTTAAGTCCAGTTAGTTAACATACAGTGTTAGGTTAGTTTCTGGTGTAAAATATAGTGATTCAGCAGTTTCCATACATCACCCGGTGCTCATCACGACAAGTGCACTCCTTAATTCCCATCACCTATT